AAATTCATTGGTGTGAATGTTGTTCCACGTTTCACACAATGTCTGAACAGCTGATGGCATATTCTGCATCACAGTCTGACCTGAAAGAGTGAAAACAGAATCAAAATGGATTAGATATTCAAATGCACATAAAAGTCATTAATATCTTGACAATATTATCCAGAATTCTTACCAAGCAAATTGGCTTTGCAGCGTGTGGATCCGATGGACAACACAGCAGCATAACCCTGCAGTTTAGCTTCTGTGGGTTTGTTTTCTCCTTCTTCTGGCAGGCTCATCAGCAGGTATGACCTGAGCAAAGATATGACCAGCAAACCAATCAGGAAGGGCTTAAGAACTTGGTTTGGTTTTCTAATGTTTACTTGAGTACTTTAAAGAGATGGTTCATCCAAAAATGAAATTAAAATTAACTTCATTATGGACTCTCATGTTATTTTAAGGTTGCTTTTCTTCTTATGGTGCATGTGGTGTAATCAGCACCTGGTGAAGGCTGTGTAGACATCAATGAGCTGCAACGTGGCGGGCAGCAGGTTTTTGGTGATCTCGGAGGATTTGTTGGGGTCTGTATCAGCAGCTACTTTGGAGAAATGCTCATCTAAAGACACTTGCACTTTGGATATCACAGCATCCAATGTGTAGATAGTTTGTAGAGAGGGTACTTGGTGAAGAGGTAGGATGCTGTTGGGGTCCACGCAGCAAAATGACGAAATCTATCAAGGAGAGGACTTATGAGGCCATATATTAGAAGACAAGCAGAAAAATCTATATCAGCTGTTAATGGCTACTCCGAGTGTACCTGTCTGGCGATGTATTCCTCTGCGAGCTCCACATCATATTTCACTGCACTGCATTTAGCTGAGGCCACTTCGATCAGAGATGTGGCGTGGTCAGCTTTCATTCCCTGTTGCACTAGGTGCTCCTGATTAAAGTGTGTTAACAGATGATTGACCTTAACTTCAAGGCATCTTGATCAGTTGGTTATATTTTCTTAGTGTTAAAATTATAAAACTAACCTTGATCCAGTTAACGTAGGTACTGACTCGTAACCTTGATGACCATCTTAGGGTGTGCAAGATGTCGCTCTCACTGGGGTCACTGCTGCCGCTCTTAAGCTGCTCAACATAGGCCTCTGAGGGTGGCAGCACTCCCAGGATTTTCCACAGCACCAGGAAGTAGTACTGCAAGGAACATGCTTCCTGTACCAGAGATTGACAACAACATTTAGGGCAAAGGCTACCAGCGCAAACACAAGGTTGATTGTAAAAACTGCAGAATGTGTGTAACTCACTACTGGAGTGACGGGCTTGTTTTCTTGCCGTCTTGCTGTGTCAAAGCTGGATCCTGCAGCCAGCAGGGAGATCAGAGAGGAGTATAAGTCGTCATACTTTACCGCGTCATTGAACAGCACTTGGAAGGCCTGTAACAGTTGACAAAGAACATGCACATTAACTTCTTATATACATTCTTTTTTATTTATATAGTCATATAAATATAAAAGCAGGAGTCTTCAAACTTTTAATGCCAAGAACCTCATGGTAAACAAAGAGACAGGATCTCCGATACATAATGTATGAAACTGAGTGCTGTATTAAAGCCTGGCCTATAATCGCATTTTTACAGCAAGATGTCGCTCTCACTGGGGTCATTGCTGCCGCTCTTAAGCTGCTCAACATAGGCCTCTGAGGGTGGCAGCACTCCCAGGATTTTCCACAGCACCAGGAAGTAGTACTGCAAGGAACATGCTTCCTGTACCAGAGATTGACAACAACATTTAGGGCAAAGGCTACCAGCGCAAACACAAGGTTGATTGTAAAAACTGCAGAATGTGTGTAACTCACTACTGGAGTGACGGGCTTGTTTTCTTGCCGTCTTGCTGTGTCAAAGCTGGATCCTGCAGCCAGCAGGGAGATCAGAGAGGAGTATAAGTCGTCATACTTTACCGCGTCATTGAACAGCACTTGGAAGGCCTGTAACAGTTGACAAAGAACATGCACATTAACTTCTTATATACATTTTTTTTATTTATATAGTCATATAAATATAAAAGCAGGAGTCTCCAAACTTTTAATGCCAAGAACCTCATGGTAAACAAAGAGACAGGATCTCCGATACATAATGTATGAAACTGAGTGCTGTATTAAAGCCTGGCCTATAATCGCATTTTTACAGCACCATATTAGTGTGTTTGTTATTTTAATTATTATTGGTATATTAAAATAATAATAAATCAACGCAATACCATTTTTTGGTGTACAAAGTACTTATTGTATGATATATTTTTACATTTTTTAATCATCTTGTAATGTTTCTGTGGTTTTACTTATTTTAAATAAACATTTATAAGCATCTTTTTAAAAACATGTGTACAAATATTTTATGTTATCTCTTAAAATCAGATACAAAAACTTATAATTAAAATAATTGTAAAATTGTATTATAATAATAATAATATATTTTTATTAATTACATTAGATTATCATTAGGGCTGTCAGTCGATTCAAATTCTTTATCTAATTAATTCCATAGTGCGTTGATTAACTAATCTAACTAAATTTGGCTGTGAAAATACCCACAAAAGATTATTTAAAGCTATTATTGTGTTAAATGAGAAAGTATCAAGTAGACATTACAAATAGTAGCTATAGAAATAAATATTTTCTTTGATTCAACAAAAATTACTACACATAAATGTTTAGGCTACAAGGGTCTACTGTAACAAACTATAAAACATAAAAAGATAATTTGAGAAACAGCTCAGTATTTTTTGTTCATGAAATGAAAGTCACTGCCGGGTAACCAAAACAGCTTTGTTACCAACAGTCTTTGTCAGTCAGGTTTGAAATAACATGAGGGTGAGTAAATGTTTTTTTTGGTGAACTATACCTAATGTTTTATTTATTTGTTTATTTATTTTTTAATAAATTAATTGACACTCTAAAGAAAAAACTAAAATTGCCAGCAGGTGGCAGTAAATGTCTTTTTGAGCCATTCATTCATTCGATTCGTTCAAACAGCTGATTCATTCAGGAATGAAGTAAACGGCTGTCTATGAATGGGCCTTTGAATCACTGGTTCACACGATTCGTTCAAAACGCAGATTCAATCAGAAACTAAACACCGCTGTGTTGCTCACAGACACACAACAGTTCTGCTGTGGCTTTATAGGTAATATTTTTGTTGGCAAAATTGAGCTAAAACAGTATCATGTTTAAAATATAACACAATACTAACTTCTTATTAACTGAACTGTTGTATAAAAAACAAATGTAAAAAAAATTTACATTTGCACTTGTGCTATTCAAACATAAACAGCACTATTGCTCTCGCTGCTTATGTGATATTGCTTATGTGATATAAATATGAGACAAATACTCATACAGGGGCTTTTTTTTTCTCTCTCCCAATATCTTGAATTTCAGGACATAACTGCATTTATGGAGTTGTTGCCCTGCATCATATTTGTCAACAGTCAACTATGAAATGTAAGATGGTGTACAAGTCTGGGGGCGGGGCCAGTGCGTTAACTGCTTTAAAAGATTTTAATCGCGTTATTTTTTTAATAACTAATTAAGATAACGTGTTAAACGGACAGCCCTAATTATAATATACAATATAATATTCTTGTTATTTATATTAAATTACAATATACAATAACAACATTATATAATTTCATTTAAATAAATAATAAACAAATAAATCTATATTTTGAGTAATTAAAGCAGTACACTATAAGACACTAGAAATTTCATGCCAATTTTCCAAGAAAAAGTTTGCTAAAAGACCAAAATGGTTTTCTTTAACTAGGTGCACAGACACTCCCATGTCTAATACTTGTGCAGACTTGTGATGTGTAGCCTCACCTTGCCATCAAGTCGACCCCTGTCATCCTCTGACGCATCAGGAGACAGAACGCAGTAGAATTTCGGCTGCACTGTGGAATCTAAATGAGAGTGACGACAGACATACAACAATCAAAACCGTTCTTGCACTAGATTAGCAAAGCTTACAACTGTTGTAATGCAGTATGTTTGATATCGACCATCAAGTGCACAACTGAGTGAAATATAAGAGATCTGACTTACTCCTACCTGCCGAGCAGTGCTTGGCCCAGTTCTCTTCTACCTCTTTGAAACCATAATAAAGTGGGACAGCACCTCTCTTTCCTCCCTCCTGTCCTGAACTGGCCCTGGATGACAGGGGTGTCAGAAGATTGTACTGAACCTAAGTGAGCAAATAAAAAATAACTGTCACAAACTAGCTACAAAACAGTGGTATATTTCCAGTGAAAGTACAGCTACATCCGCACCTGCTCAAACAAGTACATGGGAGCTTTTGAGTACTGGTGCAGCAGGTAGTCGAACACAAGCAAGATGCGGGCCAGGTTGAGGGGTACAGCCTGAAGCTGAGAATCCACGTGGGCTGCGATTTCAGCGATGGTCTGCATGCAGAGGGTGAGGATGCTGCGGCGGCCCTTTTCAGAGAAGTTGTGAAAGATGAGCAGAAGCAGCTGAAGGTGTTCAACATTGAGGTCCTCGTCAGCAGGCACTGCTCCCTGTAGTGTGTGCTGTTTCAAAGTGCCCACAAACCTAAAAAAAAAAAACATTCAGATTGAGAATGTTTCGCAATGTTATATGAACTTGATGCTATCATATAATATACACATAAATGAGAATTTGGTGAAGAATCCAATGCTAGATTTAAGAAAAGAGGTGTAATTCTGTAAGATTAAGTGATGTCATACCTTTCCCAGACCTTCATGCATTCTGGTACATCAGGCTCCCCCTGCTGGCTGGCTTTATGCTGCCAGATCAGCAGTAACCTGGAGAGCACTGAGAGGGACTGAGGATGGATGTACATGGGCCAGGGACCCTCTGAGAACGGGGCAACACCCAATTGCTGCAGAAGAGTGTTCTGAAGAAAAGTTAAAGAAAACAAGGTATCAGATACCTGACATCTATTTAAAATGTGTTCAATTAATATTGAGGTTTTTTTTTTTTAAGCATATTTCAAAATTTACCTGTAGGGATGGAGAGGGCAGGTCTGATGTTACCAGAGAGTGATTAAAGTGATAGAGGGCTGAGGAGAACTCTTCATCAGAGGAACCTGGACAAAAAAGGTTACATGTTAGGAAAAGCCTAAATGCAAGATCAGAAATAGGAGTTAAAAAAAAAAAAAAACCTTTGACATCTTTGTCGACATCCTTGATGATGCTGGCGAGGGTGGCCATGTGCTGCTCCGTGAGGGACACGCTCAGGTAGTTGCGAATGAAATTGTTTCTGGACTTGAGCATGGAGGTGGTGATGAAGTTCAGTATGCTTGAGGCCAAACTCAAAAACTGGAACAAGAAACGTGGCTTTAGTTTAACATGAATCCGCTTTTGAAAAACTTCACTCATCATGTAATGTGATGTAAATTAGTAAATAAATTAATAAAATAACATATAAAAATGATGATATATATTACTGAATATATAAAAATTACTTATGTCAAAAACTGAAAAGTCAACATGAAACGGCAACCCTTTTCACTCATCATGTAATGAATAAAATAAATAAATATTAAAATTATAAAAATATATATAATTATATAAAAATAATAATATAATACAAATGTAAAAATGTATTTAATTAAAAATTTTTATTTAATTACTTTAATTTATTTTGCACTGTCAGATATGGCAGTTATATTGGACTTATACTGACAAGCTAATGGCATAGTTGAAATATCACACAGAAACAAAAGCTTGTTTTAAAAAAAATTTCAGTACTATTTATGTATTTATAAGAAAAATTTGAATGACAAAAAAAAAACGAACGCCCTTAATTAAATAGTTAAAGGGGTCTTATGATGTTGCTAAAAAGAACATTATTTTGTGTATTTGGTGTAATGAAATGTGTTTATGCGGTTCAAGGTAAAAAAAACCCACATTATATTCCACATACTGTACAATTATTGTTTCTCCTCTATGCCCCGCCTTCTTGAAATGCGTCGATTTTTACAAAACTCATCGTTCTGAAA